ACATGTTAAAAATTATCGTGCTTTTAAAAAAGGAGTTCAGTGGTCAAACCATAATATACCAAATATCCCTGGCCCTGCCAAAATAAAAATGCACACTGATATCATTAAAACTAATTACTGGAATAAGAATGTCTAACTCAGCATTTCACAAATCATCTATTTAAAATTCTTCTTTTTCTCTCTCTTTATAATATGTTCAGAAAACTGGATACACATGATCTGGAACTTTCAGGTTTAGCATAAATTTCATTCATTTAGCATGAATCATTCATTTTATTGGTATGACCAAATTACTAGAAATTTACTGAAATCCACTCTTTGTTCTTCATGGTTATTCCTTCCTCAGGTTCATTAAAATTATTCTTATGTAAAACATGAAGTCATGGTTTTTTGTAAATGTTTGAGATGATGAGACAGTCTTAGTTATGTGGAAACATAAACTCATATTGTGCACAAGGTACAGATTTTCTTGGCTGTCTCTAACCTACAGCTTCTGAAAGACCACTTCCTACAAAAATCTGAATATATAACCGTTTGAATTATAAAATATAATTTATAAAATCATCAAACTATTGAAAGTAGTTTACAGAAAGAGCCATATTAGGTATTGGCACTTCTGTAATAACAAATTTTCAGTTGAAGTCTGGGAAAACTAGGTATCAAAATGAAAGAAAACACACACTTGCATGTACACTCACTTCCAAATCATGATGTGGTAGTACGTATCTGAAGACAAAATTCAAGGAGACTGGGATTTTTTTAAAAGTGCAGTGACAGAAACCAGGCCAAGGAACATGGCAGCACCCCTCCAAGTTAGGATGGCCAGTGACCTAGGGTTGGTCAATCAATCACCACTCTCTTGAGATCTCCCAAAAACCAGAGGGCAAAGAATGAACTGTCCATAGCCAGTTACTGAGAAGCTAATGGTAACCTCTACCATCATGAGCAGGAAGCCTTTGCAGAACAGGTGAAAAGAGGGGAGGAGAACAAAGATGGGTTATTTTTTTTTTTTTTTGAGACAGGGCCTCAATGTGCAGTGCAGGCTGGCCTTGAGTTCACTTTGAAGCCCAGGCTGGCCTCAACATCATGGAAATCTTCCTGTCTCAGTCTTCCAAATACTGGGATTGCAGGCATGAGAATTTTAATTGCTGAGTCCAGTTGTACCTGATCAACCTTCATTAACTCCCTGGTTATGCTAGGCTTCCTGCAACTTTAACTGTTAAGAGTCCTGCAACTTTAACTCAACATTTAAAGAGCAGATTACCATACTCAAGGTGGGAACACACAAGAGTCACTGGCTCTTTAGATGTGCAGAAACTTTTCAGTAGGATGAGATCCCAGTTGTTGATTCTTTCAAGTGTTTCATGTGCAATTTGGTTTTTGTTCATGAACTCTCTGCCTACCCCTATGTCTTCCAGGTTTTTACCTACCTTCTCTTCCAATAGCTTTAGTGTTTCTGGTTTCATATTGAGGTCTGTGAACCATTTTGACCTGAGTTTGGTGCATGG